ACAGTGCAGGGCCGCGCCGGGCCGGGTGGGGAGGGCCTCGGCTCCCCGTGACCATAAAGGGGTTATTACACTCCCCCCAGTTGGGACGACGTATTCTTTCAAGGTAAATGTCGATCTATCTGTCCTGCCAAAGCACCCCATCTGAGTTTGCTGACATTGCTCATTTTTTTATTCTAGAATACAAGGGTATATTTACATAATTTTCTAAGCATCGTTTTTTAATAGGAAGAAAATACTTGAAATTTCGTGGTATATTCATTCATATGTACAAATGATATTGGAACTGACCTCATTTTTCTATTTCCCCAGTTTGCACACAAACACTCATCTGTTTGTGGAACCTGATCCAAGTTTGAAGGGTTAGCTAAAAATATCTGGGAAGAGATGAGCTTGTGTTCTGTGTGCATTTTTTTTTGTCTTGTTTTGTTTTTGTTTTTTGAAACAGGGTCTCACTATGTAGTTCAGTAGCCCAAACAGATCACGAACTTGCAGCGATTCTCCTGCCTCAGCCCCCAAGGGCTGGGGTCACAGGCGTGTGTCACCCTGCCCAACACAGTTCTCTTATTCACAGATTTCCTTCCATGTGTATTGCTTTGATGCTCACACTGGTTCACACAAAGATAGAGGAATGGATGGTTGACAAGAGAGCTCTGGCTTGTTATTGGCTTAATATTTAAGAGTCACTTTGAGTTGGTAATCATAGAACGTGGGGTCCTTGAGAGAGCTTTCCAGCAAGAACTCACTACTAGCCTTTTGTAGGTTGTGTACTGTATCAAGTAGAGGGGGGTGGTCCTGAGCGTCTTCCTTATTAGGTTTCTAGCTTAGGTTCCTTCCCTTTGTGGATTTTCTTCCCATAAACCAAATAAAATCCAAAGGATTAACTTGAAATGGGCATGACTTTGTCATTCACCTTCACTCTTTCCATCATCTGAAACACTGCTGTGAGCCTGCTATTTCTTCAGGATGAGGTGAAGAAATCTAATAGAGGGTAGGGGATGTAGTAGCTCAGGGGCACTATACCTGCCTTGCAAGCACAAGGTCCTGAGCTCAATCCCCCCCCCCAAAAAAAAGGAAAGAAAGAAATCAGGTAGATTCAATGTATGGTGGAGCGTGCCTGTCATGCCAGCACTGTGGAGACTGAGGCAGGAGGATTGCTGTGAGTTGAAAGCCAGCCTGGCACACATAGCCAGACCATGCCTAAAAGAGTGAAAGAGCGGGGGGGGGCAAAAATGAACTATAATAGAAATCTCACCCTTATAAATAGAACATAGAATCCAGTAGGTGAGATGAGGTTTGTAAACAAATATACACAAGATTCGCAGTAAGTGCTTTCATTAAAGAATAGATCAAGTGCTGCCTAATAATTCTACAGACACTTACAGAAACAGGTGCTATTTGTCCCTATACCCTGGTGGAGTTGATGGAATTAATCTCCCCCTTTAAAAGAGCCAAGGCCACCTGGGAGGGTTTGATGAATTTGTCACTTTGGATGCTGTAGTATAAAGCACTTTAGAAATTGTGAAATGCAACACAAATATTTATCCAACTCAAAGCTTTTGAAAATCAGGTGTACTGTGACCGATCATTTCGGAGATGTTTGTTTGCTTGAGAAAGGATCTCGCTATGAAGCCCAGGCTGGCCTGGAACTCCTTGGGATCCTCCTGCTTCAGCTTCCCAAGTACTGGGGTAACTGGGCTTCAGTGCCACACCTGGCCATTTCTGAGTCTCTAAGCTCTGACCAGATACTCAAGCTTCCGGAAGGCTATGAGGGAAGAGGAAGGAGGGGAGAGCCATCTTTTGCAGGAGAAGGACGCCCCCAACACACATCAGCTCCAGTGGCTGAGAGCCTTACAGGACCTGTGCCCTTCCTCCTCCTAGCCCTTCTCAGAGATTGCTAAGCTTGGAAATGGTCAGAGAGGCCAGGCAAAGTTCCATGAATGGAATGACCAAGAGGTCCCCTGTAGGTCCTGGGAGGGTATCTTTTGTTTCCATCGAGCAAACGCTTCCCATTCATCCCCAAAATCCAATGAAAACGACCTTCAGGAAGTGTGTCCTCCAGGCTTCCATACACCTGCAAGCAGCATCCCACCTGCAGCTCATGCAGCAGGGCAGTGACTCATAACTGCCTGGGCTGGGGGTCTGTCCTTCTGAAGGTGGAGATGGCTGTAGAGAAACTGACAGCAGCATCGCCCTGGGGCTGCTATTAAACCAAAGTCAGAATCGCCCTCCAATCACCACAGGGCAGTGAGCATTAAAGCAGCTTGTATTGGTTCATTGTAGGACGAGAAGCCTTTGACACAGAGCAAACTACGATATGAGTGGTGTATTTATAGATCCACATAGAGAGATAAGTGCATAAGTCTATGCAGTGCGTACAGTGAGTAGACCTGATGAGCAGATGTAATGTGCATATACGGAGAACTTCATCCTCCTAGAAGAGTCCAAAAGAAAAGTATTCAGGGCCAGGGATTTAGCTGAGTGGTGCCGCTGCCTGCCTTGCAAGCACAAGGACCTGAGTTCAATCCCTGGTACCAAAAAAGAAAAAAAAACCTAAGATATAGAAAGGTATCCACTAAACTTTCTGCAAGAGTATATACAAATGCAGTTTCTCCTTACACTGTAGAAACATGGGGGATTGCAAAGTATGTAAAACTCAGGGCTTCTTTCAGTGCTCCCTTTGGTGCTGACGTGTGTAAAGCAGAATGGGGAAAGGTGAGGGAATTTACCTCTTTTCTTCAGGTCGAGAAAATACAAATCTACAGCTTGTATATAAGAGGTATGAGAATATTGTATAATAAATGTACCATTAAATTCTTCAGCCAAATACCTAGTACCTGTGTGTTACCTGTACAAGTTGAAGGTAGCTATAAATAAAAGTCTTTGTAATTGAGTTAAAGTAACAAAAATGACAATGGTATTAATGCCTGAAGCTTTTCAAGAATAAATAACACAAATACAGAGTTCCTCACGCTTCAGTGAGCTGACAAATCACCAGGGAAGCATATTTTAAATTCAGATTGCCTGGCATCTCTCGAAATTCTGATTTAATGGGTTTGGTGGGACCCAGGCCTTCTTTTTAACACACAGCCCAAGAGGGTCCGATGAGGCTGGCTGAAGACCCACAGGTGCAGCCATCGTGCCCTAGGGGCTGGCCTCAAACAGGCCGTTTTCCATGTTTGGAGGCCCTAGAAATTGCCCTACAAGGGAAAGGAAAAAAATCCCTACCAGGTGTGTCATGATTTCCAAATATCCACCCCTCTTGCTATGAGTGTGAACTGCAGAGTTAGACACCTTGGAGACTGCCTGCAGTTCTGGGCTCTCCGGGGCTCCATGGGGAGGGATGAGATGGCAGGAGAGCAGTGATTGGAGCCCCAGGCAGAGTGCAACGCAGCCAAGGGCGAAGGAAAAGCCTGAGTCCAAGGCAGAGAAGGAGAAGGAAAGCAGCTCGGACAGGAAGGGCAGAGCGGAGGAGCATGGAGGCCACCAGGAAGGTCCGAGACCCTTCTGCTACAGCGCTGTGTTGGGACAGCCGTGCGTGTTTATTTGATTACTTTAATTTATTTGCTATACTCTTAAAATGTTGCTGTTGGGAGAGATTTTATAGTCCATTCTTCAGCCTTTTAATTTTACAGTTAAAGAAGGAAATGTAGCCGTGGATGTAGCTCAGGGCCGCCACACCAGCCTGGAAAGCACAAGGTCCTGAGTTTGATTCCTGGTACAAAGAGAAGGAGGTGGGGGGAGGAAGAGGAGGAGGAAGAGTAGAGGGAGGGGGAGGGGGAGAAGAGGAAGAAGAAAGAAGGGGGAGGGAAAGAAGCAAATGTAAGGCACAAAAATGGCAAGAGGAAAGGGCTGGTGAGGACCAAGCTGACGACCGGCCGGCTTGGCTAGCATTTCCATGTGTCGATCCAATCTCCATTACTGTTTTAAAACAGGGGGGCCTAGGGATTTCATTTAGTTAATAATAGTGATGGTGGGGGGCTCCAAACTACTAAAAAGCAGAAAGAACCCTCAAAAGAACTCATCAGTAACCAGGCAGGGTGACTCATGACTGTACTCCCAGCACTCAGAAGGCTGAGGCAGGAGGATCACTACAAGTTAGAGACCAGCCTGGACTGCGTAGTAAGATGCTGTTTCCAAAAGTAAACAGATAAATGAAAGAATTCATGCTTAAGGCAAGGAGAGAGGATGGTGGGGAAGGAAAGGGGACACAAGTTTAAAATGTCTGATGAGGGTGGGGCTGTAATTAAGTTACCTACGTGCTAATTATGATGATGACAATTCTTGGTTCTATGAGCTTTTAAAATTTAACCTTTCCCTTCCAGTCCATACAATACAAGGAACGATGCTGCCTCAAGTGTGATCATTATGAGAACCAAAGAAGTTGCCTAATCCACCTCTTTACCCTTGCCTGGCCCTTGTACTTTTAGCATGTTCTTTCCTGTTTCTCTGAAGAGGATTTGCAGTCACTTGGGAATCCCTTCTGGTCCTGCTTTGCAAACATTCCTGGAACTCGCATTCTCCCAAGAGCCTGGATGTGTGAATAGGAATGAGCCGTGGCACCTGTCTCAGAAGAGCTCATGCAGAAAGAGACAATTAGAAATGAGCACCGGCACCGCAGTGCAGCTGGGAGGTAATGTGAGCCCGGAGAGGGACACCTAACCCACTACAGGGACAGGGGGACATCAGGAACGGACACCTGAGCTGAGCCTGAAGAGATTAGGGATGGTAAAAGGCATCGCTGTCTTCCTTCGCCCAGCACCTACTCACCCCACTTTAGAGTTTGTTTGTTTGTTTTTGTTTTTTGAGACAAGGTCTTACTATGTAGTTCAGGCTGGACTTGAACTCATTATGTAGCCCAAGCTGGCCTCAAACTCACAGAGATCCTCCTGTCTCAGCCTCCTAAGTGCTAGGATTACAGGCATGTGCCGCTAAGCCCAGCAAACTTTTTCTGTTTTTATGGTTGTTGTTGTTATTGTTTGTGCTTTTGAGGTGGGGTCTCACTCCATAGTCCAGGCTAGCCTTGAACTCATGGCTATCCTTCTTCCTCATTCTCTTGAGTGCTGACATTACAGGGGTGTGCCATCACGTCTGGCTTTTTATGAAAGAACTTTACCCCTTCCTTCAGGGGAATTGCTCCTGTACTGCTCCAGTCAGTCTCTGTGAGGCTGCAGATCACTTCTCTCCCTAGCCTGGCTCATGATTCAGGAATAGCCAGTCCTAGGGTCCCAACCCCAGCCACAGTGACTAAGCTAAGGCAAGGCCAGAGTCCATCCCAAGGACTTCACAGTAACACTGGGAGGGAAATTCTCTTTTTCCCTTTAGAATCAGTGAATCTGAGTAAACACGGACTTGAGTCTGTCTCACCGCCCCTCCATGCTCCTCCTCTCCTGCTCCCACCGCTGGCTCCGTATTTACAGGAGCAAAGGAACCCACTGCACCGGCTGCTGAAGTCATACGAAGAAAGCGGTGGGAGGACAAGCAAGCCCTCGGGCAGTGCCCTCCCTGTGCCTCCCTCCGTTCTGAAAGTTAACTCGTGTTGGAATCTTGTCACTTGTAAGTAAAGGGTCTTGAGGAGGAGACCCATGAGAAGGCTGGAAGCTGAGAACGGGCAGGGGCCGTATCGGAAGGTGCCGGCTCCGGCAGGAATGCTTCCTTTTGTTTGAAGTTCTGCTGCGTCGCCCTAATTCCCTGATGTACTCACATCCAGACATAGGCACAGACTCAGCCTTGGCCTGGAGATCTAGATTTCTGGGCCATGGGCAGGTGTTTCATACGCTTAGACTGTGTGCTTGTTCCCTTCCCTCAGGCTCAGGTCGGATCCTGGAGCTGGAATGCGCCCTAAATCACAGGCTCAAGAGAGCGCTAACCCTCAGCTTCACTCTGCAGCTTCCTCGCCCGGGGGCAGGATTCAGGCTCCTGGTCACAGTCTCGGAGTCACCTTGCAACCAGATAGACCCATGTGGCGCTGTGAACCTGCCCACTCCAGGGGGACTTGTCAGGCAGGAAGGGCTGCCTTTGTCAGCTGGCTGCCCCTGATGTCCATCCGGAAGTCATGCACTGAATTTCCCAGGTGACCAATTCGTGAAGGACTGCTCGTTAGTCCAGACTGTCCCCATGGCTCTGCTTTCCCGAGTCCCCCACTTTAGGTGCCCAACACAATTTAAACCTGACCCTGACCAAGTGAGGATCTTCACCAACTAGCTGTCTTTTATCAACTGTTATTTCCTTCTAGAAAATTCTCTCACAAATTTTAGATAAATGCCAAAAATTCTTATTTGTTTTTACTCTGCTTTTAAGCAGATATTGTATTAACCATATTTCCTGTTTCCAGGACAAAATACCTGGCATCTGCAACTTAAAAAACAAGATGTTTGTTCTGGCTCATGGTTTCAGAGGTTTCAGTCCATGGTCAGGTGACTCCAAGGCAGAAACAGTACAAGGAAAAGCATGGAGGACAGTGGCTTGACTCACAGCACCCTGCAAGCAGTGAACAGGGAAAGAGCCTAAAAAGAAGTGATCGCAACCAAATATAGTCCCCAAGGTGACGTCTCCATGCGTCCACTTCCTATAACTCATTGACGAGGTTAAGCCATTGATGAGGTGAGTGTCCACATCATCCAGTCACCTCATCTGAAGTTCCTACCTCATTCAAATTGACTATCACAGTATGCTGTACATGGGGTTTCCCACACTAGGTCCAGTGCCTGCAGGGACTCCTCCCCAGGAGAACCAGCCGGAGGCTCTTTCTCGTGATCATGGGGCATTTCCAGCCATGTTAGCCTGAGGAAGAACCCAAGAATTCAATCACAGTAAAGGAGTAAAATATTTAATGTTATTTTAAGCATTGATTATTTTAACAAATTTCTTTTTCAGAATTAGAATAAAATGCTTTTGAGTAAAATTTGAATGTCACTGGCTAGGTAACTTATAAAGGATGCATCATCCTTGTCCTGCTCACAGTTCTGGAGACCAGGCATTTCAACATGGGGAGCACATCTAATAAGGGTCTCCTGGCTGATGGGGGCTCTACACTGTGCTGAGGCATCACAGGGCATCGCATGGTGAGAGGGGCCCCTACAAAGACAGGGTCTAAATGGCCTTTATAACAGACCTGTTCTCCTAATAACCCATTAACTTATTAGCACATTGACTCATTAATCTATTAACCCATCAGTAGATTAATCTATTCACAGAGGCAGACCTAATCACTTCTAAAGGTCCTACCTGGTCCCACCTCATAATACCTCACAGTAGGGATTAAGTTTTGGTGGAGACATTTACACCTAAGCAGGTATAGTTGCAACCACCACAGACTTCAAACGGGTGGCCATCCACACTGGAATAAAATCACATAACTATGCAAAGTGCACCCTTCCTCCAATCAGCATCTTTATTCATGTATTCACTCCTTCTTCTTCTCCTTCTCCTTCTCCTTCTCCTTCTCCTTCTCCTTCTCCTTCTCCTTCTCCTTCTCCTTCTCCTTCTTCTTCTTCTTCTTCTTCTTCTTTTTTTGGGGGGGGCTACCAGGGATCGAACTTGGGTCCTTGTATGTACTCATTCTTAATCAAGGAAGAGCTGTTCATCATTCCTGTAAATGTGTATAAGTACATCCATTCCCCTGCTTGTCACCTTCCCTCCTAGGGAATTTCCTAGGGAGTTATTGTCAGTCATCTCACATGGACAGCAGAGACCCTGCTCAGAAAATATTTCTAAACTAAATTAAGGGCAACTGGTGCATTTTTGATCCCCTTAGCTTCACCAAGTACTATTTTATTTGCTAGGAATTAAAATAAAAAGAACAGAGCAGGCTCTGTAGGCAAAAGATCCATTCTTGCTAAATAATACTCATAAAATAATAAATCTTGCTATCTGAAAAGAGATTTCCTTGTATTTCAAATTCAGAAAGATGGATGAATTTATTTTTCATGTCACACCAGAAGCACATGGACAGTGAACTAAAAGAACCCATGGTGCAGTAATAAGTACCACATTCATATTTAGATCAACAATTCAGTCCTGTTATGATAATACTTGTCAGGTTAAATGTATTTTGTTAGTTTGAACTAAATACACAATTTTGTTGAATTAAGTGGTTTTTCCTTTTGCTTATATAAATGGACAAGAGCTATGAGCATAGTCTATGCTTACATTTGTGTACGTTAAGTAATGTCATAATTAAAATAACGTAACTCTGTGCCAGCAGTCTGTTGGTTTTATTTTTCTTTAAATAAATAAGGCTAGGACAATACTCAAGTTTGCAAAACATTGGGGTGGTCCAATAGGCATGTTAAGACTGGCAAATAAGGTCACAGATTTTTACAAAATAATATCCACAACTCCAAAAGCCGCAAAAGTCATTGTATTTCTGTAAAAAGGTAACTAATTCAAACTCACTTTTGTGGTGACTTTAAAGTAAAAATGGAGAATAAACACATCTATAATCTTGCTTCTTTCCACCATCCAATGAAATTATAGCTAAGGGATTTTCCCCCCAAAGGGATTTTTAAAGGCATAAGATCACAAAGAGAGAGACAGACGTTGATAGGAAAGTAGATGGTCAAATGGGAACAGACTTTGCAGGCTGTGAAAGCCTACACCTGAGCAGCAACAGCAGGGAACAGTTGAGAATAAACCTCATTCCCAGCGGATCTTCAACCGAAGGCTCAGGAACAGAAAGTGCCAGTCACCATGGAGGTGGACAAGGGTGGGGAAAGGATGGAAGGGACTGGCAGAAAAAAGTGCTTCGATCTCTCCATTCCTCGGCCCACCGCGGTCTGCTGGGCAACTACAGTCTCAGCAGAACAGAAATGTAGTTTTGGGAACTAGAAGATCTCTGGACCTGGGAACCCAGTCAAGAAAGGCAACTGAACTAAAAACAAGGAGGATGGAGCCACATACTTGGAGATCCTCTACCAGCACAACCTGAATCCAGGCCGCTAGGCTTCACCCGGCTCACAGAAGACCGGAAGTGTATTCTGTAGGGAATCTGATCAGCCCAACCAAGGAGAAATGCCAAAAGATAGACAATCTTGAAAAAAGTTCAGGCATCCACTGGGACAGTTAATCGTGCTGTCAACTCGAATAAGAAACACCTGGCTTAGCACGGGTCTGGGTGTGTCTGGATGGCTGACTTACCAAAGAGAGAAGATCCACCCTGGGTGTGAGTGGCACCAATCAATAGGCTGGGAATAAAAAAGAAATCAAGGGGGAAGTCCTACTTTGTGCTTCTTTGGAGAAGCTCCCATCTTCACCGACACCCTTGGACGTCTGTGCCCAGGTTTCCAGTTCAGCCTCATCAGCCTTCCAGTGCAGGCACTTGGTTTCCTGACACAGACTCGCAGGAGACACTGCAGTGAGCTCCAGGCATGCAACTTCTGACGGATCCTCAGCACACAGATGGCCCTTCTGCAGCCAGCCATTGTAGGCCCACCTTGTAGATCTTTTCTCTGTCATTTATATGATACATGTAATATATACATTATATATAATTCTGTTCTCCTCATGAACCCTGTGCATGCATGGTGAGCTTCTGCTCAGCTTTTTACTCTGACACCCTTAGTCATGAATAGCCAAGAATTATCAGACATTTGAGGATAATCTGTTGTACAAATGTTGCAATAAAATATATAAGCACAAAACAAAACTGTTTCAAGAAAATAAAAATTAGGCGGGCAGGAAAATAATCTTTTAACGCTAATATTGATATCTATGATATCTATTGATTCTACCCAGTGGAATATCTTAAGTTAAAGAAATAGGAATAGGAGACCAAAACTATAAATGTACAGAAAAAAGAAATGCAGAAGTAGTTGTACAAATGAACACCGAGGAGATGGGTTAGAAGAGAAGGTTGAAGAAGTCTTCTGGAAAGAAAGATGAATGAAAAATAAGAGAGAAAGCACTAGCAAATTAAAAGTCCAGTCTAGGAGAAGCCCCTCAAAGAGAGACTAAGAGAAAGCAATGATTTCCCTAGTGAAATAATTTAAAATTTGTTAAAATTGAAGTTTATCTGTGTCTGGCGTGAAAGGGCTCATTGAGTGTTTAGCAGTAAAAATATACCTATAGCAGGACACGTCACAGATATACTTTGGAACACAGGTGCTTCGACCCAGTGTTTGTGTCCCTCCCAATCCATCTGTTGAAATCCTGGATGGCACTGGGCACTGGGAGGTGGGACCTTTGGAAGATAGCTAGGTCACGAGGGTGTGAATGGGAGTAGTGCCTTATGAAAGGGACTCTAGAAAACCCTCTCTGCCTCTTCCAGACAAATGAGGATGCGGTGGGAAGACCCAGGAAAGGGTCCTCCCCAGAGCCACCCATGATGGAACTCTGATCTCAGACTTTTAGCCTCCAGAACTCTGAAGAATACAAAGTCTATGACTTATAATCCACCCAGCCTACTGTAATTTGTTACAGCAGCCTGAACAGACTAAGAAAACAGGGGTCAATAATTCTATAGGTTTCCAGAGGGTGGTGGTGGTAGTGGGGGGGGGGAATCACATACAAAGTATCAGAAGTCAGAATAACTCTGAACTTCTCAATAACAAAATAGGAAGTTAGAAGAAATTGAAGCAATGCACTCAAAATTCTCAAGGGAAATCATTTTTAACTAGTATTAAATGTCTAGCCAACTTGCCAAGGAAGAGCAAGAATAAAGGTGTTTCAGGCAAAAACCTTACAACACGTGTCCCCAACACACACACTTTCAGGGAATTACTGGAGGATGTGTGCCAACAAAATGATGGGATAAGTTGAAAGAAATGGAAACATGAGTTGCAGAATAGCAAAAAATCCAACTTGAGAAAAACAAAAAGAATTCCCACACTCAGGATTATGCACCCAGGGATTTTACTCAGTGGTTCCGCTGCCTGCTAGAGTTCGTACCCCGGTACCAAAAAAACAAAAACAAACTGATGTTAACAAAGCGTGGAGACATACAGGCTGGATTCATACAAGCTTAACTCCTGAAGAGATCTGAGAGAATAAAATTAATGTAAGAATAATGAATGTAACTAGAAGGTATTTAAAGATCTGATACAGAGTACACATTAATGATACATAAAGAGGAAACTAGGCAAAGGAGAAAACACGATAACTCTTAACAGAGAGAAAAGTACAACTAATCCAGTATAGGAAAAGTAATTGTAGTTCCTTACCTGACTCAACATTCACGTGGAGAGTCATAATAGTGTTAACCTTGAACACTGAGTTAATAAAAAATGCAATACCTCGACATAAGGATGAACAGCTAATGAGTATTTATGACTGTGCTTGTTAGGGGTGGAAGAGAAACAACATCTAAGTCTTCATCTTTATGATGAGACGTCAATAGATAATGTGTGAACCTGAAAAAAAAGGAGTAGCGTATGAGCATGTAAGAGGTACAGAGTTAAATAACACAGAGAGACGATGAAAAAGGGCAGGAGGGATTGATATTTGTCTCAGCAGGCTTTGAGGAACTAGGTGACTTCTTCTGATGGGCTTCTATAACTGTAATGACAATTCTAAAAGCAAAATAAAAAATAACAGGTTCACAGAATACATAGGTTCGTGCAGGACAGGGCAAGAAACAATCATTTTATGGGAAGGATCAGAGACCTGGGTTACTACGCAGGGCAGGGCCGCACGGTGACAGTCACAGGTCTTAGGCACTTTAATTTTATGGCCCCATCCTTCCATACTATCAGTATTAACATTTATTCTCAACATAACTTTAAGTCACTTTCTTCCTTAGGAAATTTTAATCAAATTTCCTGGACTCCTTAAAGTCTCCCAGGCCCTAGACGTTGCCACTGTACCTGGTGAAAATCATCCCTGGCAAAAGGTAGAAACCAGGAGGACAAGGATTTCTGTTTATCCCGAAGTTAGCAAAACTCCTCTTGCTTTGGTTATCCAGGTCAGAATAACAGCAAATTAAATGACTTTATAAATATTAAAACTTGATTCAAAGCGATCCCAACGTTGTTAATACAAAACCACTTTATAATCTTTTAAAATTTATTACATAGCAATGACATTATACTGAAATGGTCCAAACCAGCAGCTTAATAAAAAACAATCTTACATTTTTTTAGCTGTACTTTTAATTTTCCAAAGGATTATTTTCATTTAAGTAGAATATTCAGAGATGTTTACATCTCCCATTCTTTTTCCATTATTATAAAGCAAACCTGACATCTGTCCTTGAGTTACCATATTTCTAGTTGTACGTGAAGAACATACTTTTTTTTTTTTTTGGTACCAGGGATAGAACATGGGACCTTGCACTTACAAGGCAAGCAGTAGAACCACTGAACTAAATCCCTCGCCCAAGAACATATGTTCTGATGAACTTAATTGTTCCCATTTTAACCCTTAACACTCATCAGTTTTCAAAATCACATACTGTCTTTATGGTTAGCTATATTCTACTTATGGA